GCGGCCTGACCTGAACCGAAGGCCTTTAACCAAGAATCCATTCAGATCGAAGCAAACATGCGGTTCTGCATATAAAGTGCGTTTCTCGGGAAACTTAACATATTGTCACGAAACTGCCACCAGAATCTGGAGCGGCGAACTGGAACCATTATATATCACCTTGAGGATTCTAGCTTTAACCGGCCTATCTTGTGCGAAGCGCCAAATACACAAGTGTTTTATTATTTGAAGAGTGGACCTTGCCCTAAAAACAAACAATTGGCTTTAGCACAATGCACCTTTTCAATTCAGGGGCTGTCTCTTCGGCCAACTGTAGCACAATTTCCATCCCGAAAATCAGCCCATGTCTCAGTTGACAGCACCTAAAAGCGTTGATGATGCCGCGAGCCGAGATTCAACCATCGACAACCGAAAATAGTCGTCTAGGAGCGATCCGTCATCGCCTCGAGGTGAATACCGCGAATATGACTGGATAAATCTCGACCCTTCTGGTAACTCCCCGGTTGGACTGGCATCGTTCTGCAATCTAGGACGGTCCTCATCTCGCTCATCGTCAAAATCGATGATGCCTCCAACGTCATGCTCTGCCCAGTTGACCATCTCGTCTAGCCAGCCCCTCTCATCCAAGGCACAACGAACAGCAATCTGGATGGACTCCTGGTCAAACGAGAAGTTTGGATGCCGAAGCTGAATTTCCGTAATCAGCCGTTTTCGTGGATAGCTGTAGATGTTCTTGAAGAAGTATAATAGGTCCTCAGGGCCAAGCTTTGCATAAGTCTTGATAATACGGCCCCAATGGCTTTGGTCACTCCAGCTTGTAGCCAGGGACTGACTCCTGCCAACATCTTCAACTAAGGGTGATTGTGTAAAAGTCTACATGCCCGCGTTATTATTAGTTGTTTTCGCCAGAATGTTCATTACAATATCATACCTGCTGTTGGTTTGGGTCCAGTCGAGGACAAATGTATTGCAATATCATGTCCTTGACGGTTTCCAAAAAGTCCATCAACTCCATCAACTCGCCCGTCGAATGGCGTCGCATCTGACTTGTACGAATATCGTCCACAAATGGCTCGGGGTGACCAACTCGTGGTCGGGGGAAGTCACCGTGAAAATATATGCCATACAGCCACCACCTGTATAGTGCCCTTCGAAAACGCACTTGCTCGTGAGGGCGAAGAAAGCGGCAGCCTTCAGGCTGGTGAAACCATCGCATTTGCGGAAACAGACCTTCCCACTCGCGCACTATGCGGCACTGCTTGAGCAGACCGTCAAGGTCAACTGCGGTCAAATGGACAGTATCCGGACTCGGTCCCGATGCTTTAAGCGCGTGTCGGGAATGGGTGACCTGCGTGAAATTGGCACCAACGGGGTTTCCGGTGAGACTCGGCAAGGAAATTCCGTCGCTGAGAACCACTCCTTTATCCCCGGCGAATCGGTGTAACACCACCTTCCTGGGTTTGTATAGACCGCCACTAGCAATATCCTCAGCCGAGGCAGTGTATACCTGAACAAATTCGTCAAAAGGGCTAAAGTCCCGCATGAGAATAGGTAGCAGAATGTCAACCTTTCGTCGCTGGAAGAAAAGAAAGAATTCCGTGTTTGTAAGCGAAAGCTCAAGAGTGGACTGCAAGTCTAGATGCTGGTATATGTCTAGAAGAATCTCAACGGGTAAGCCCGCGAGGTAGGCTACCGAATTTGGGAAAGTCGTCATTGTACAAGATTGAGTACTCATTATCAGTATGATAATCCAGGGAGAATGGTTTTGTGGTTGTGGTTTTTGTTCAAACAGCAACTGTCTTCTGCTGTTAGTAATTTTCCTTTCCTTTCCTCCTTTTTTTTGTTTGTTCTTTTATTAGTATTTTTTTTCGGTATGTTTAGACGCCCAGAGGGTATGAACGCGTTCCTGTATCCTTGCACCGCTGGGAGTGAGGTTTCGACTTGTGCAACACAGAATATCAAACTCGAACCGACGCGGCAATTAGGTCTTGAAAAGAGTCAGTCTTGGCAAGATTCAATGTGAGACCATGTGCATACCTATTTTGAGGAACATGGTGAATATGTGTAAGACCCCTCGAGGGCTACAACCGTGGTGGTAAATTACGAAGGCCGGCGTCGACCACTGCCCAATATTCTCGCGATCGGGCTACAAGTCTACTGCCCAAAGCTGATTGCTGAGAAAGCAAGAGTAGTTCTATCTTTCGTCGCGACAGAAAGGACCGATGAGGAAAGACGTGATGTTGCTGGAGCTTCTAATATGCTCCGCGATTGCTTCGCGATGACTCGATAGGCACCGGAAGCGGGAGTAGCAAGGATTTATTGTTCTGTGACCCCAGCGTTGGGGCTTGAGACTGGGCAGACAAAGTCCGATAGGGTGGAATTAGAAGTCGAAGCGCATGCGCATGCCATTTTTGACGATGAGCCTATCGTGATCGCGGGAGCCATGATTGCGGGTTTGGGGTTTGTTATTTGTAAGATTCCATAGGAGAAGTTGGGGAAGGGGGGAAAGGGACACGGTAAGATACGTACCGTTAACGGTCAACTGGGCTTGACTCGAAGAGCCGCCGCCCGCTACCCCCTCCAATCACCCAATAACAATCTTGACTTTAGAACACTGACCCCAGATTCCAGAAGCAGGACTAGGATCAAGTTTCAAGAGTCTAGTACTAATATTGTACTCCTCGCGGCCAGTAGAGAATGATTTTTTTTATTGTGAGGTTTCAGTGGTTCCATACTATGCAAAATTGGTTATGAGATATCAATTGATGTCAAATGTCTCAGCCAGGAAGCAGTCCAGAAGTCTCTCTTTTGACTGCAGGCTGTGGTGGATTGCGTTGGCTCCCCTACTTGGAACACCGAGGATAATGTCTTGATCGTACTCGTACGATTTCCCTCATTCGGTTCACCAGTATAGTCAGCATAGCCAGGCTTCATATTTTCTGTATCGAAGGCCTTCCAGGTCTTCGTTGCCTTCCCATCTTCCTTCGCCTCTGTTGGTCGACCTATTTGTCTCATCTTAAAGGCACTAGATAACTGAAATGAAACCATCAACTCCGGCGCCATATTTGACAAGATTTCTACCGTAATTACCCTTTTCCACCTTCCCGGCTGATTGATCCCCTATGCAAAAAGAGACTTGTTACTAAGCTCGTCCTTGGCCCGCTTCTGGCCACTGCTAGATCGTAATCCTAGCTCTCCCTTTCTTGACATTCTGTCCATGCTCTGTTCTACTCTGGCATTGTGCCTGGAGGCCTTGGCCTTGCGAAGATCAGAACGGAGTTGATTGGGCGAAATGAATTCTCGGTTTTCATAGATGATCGGTCCGCCAAAAGAACCTTCTTGGATGACGATGGGCGTAAGCACAAATCGAGGACCAATTTCAATGAGCTTGATTTCGGTGTTGCCAGCTCTGCTAGTCGCACCGCCCTTTGGTTTCTTGCCTTTGTCATCGTCACCTGACAGCACCACCGAGGCTTCTTCCTCGCTAATTTGATAGTTTCGTACCCAAATTTTACCGTCGGCGAAGCTGAAGCCCATAACATGGTCGACGAAAGGCTTGGACTTTCGTGCTCCTTGAGGCACTCCAAAGGTATGGAGGAACAGCTCTTTGATGACGCGGAGGTGCGCCTGGCTGTCAAAAGCAGCATCAAATGACAAGATCGGCCGAGATCCCTTTAAGCAGTTTCCGGTAAAGTGCAGCTCTTCCATTGTGTGCACTGTTCAGGGGAACATTAGTTGTAGCTGCAAACAATGAGTGACCGGGATACTTACAGTTCTGAAGATGCAGTTTGATGGCTGGGCCATTGGGAATCTTGCTTAGCCACATATACAAGTCTTTTCCTTTTCTGGCCTCGAAAAAAAGTACATTATTGCAGTTGTAGAGTTCGGCAAGTTCGTTGAGCTCGTTCAGCTTGGATTTAGAGTCAAACTTGACATCCTTTCGGCCATGCGGCAACATCGAAGCAATATCATTGAGCAGATGTCGGTGTCTGCATATGAAACCAGCCAGTCAGAACCTGCAAACTCGTTTTGGAATCGACGAGGCTGTATGAGGGAGTAGCACTGACCTGTAAGTAACACCACGCGAGGAGAGAATCAGCACCCGTTGCTTGTTCTTCTTGACGCCATTATTCGCCGACTCGGGTTTTTGCCCATCAGTTTTAGACAGTGATTTGTAGACGGCGGCCATTTTCTCTTATGATTAGCGTCGTGATATATTGGAAGAGCAGTGTTGAGTCTCGCTGACACCTGGCGAAGTTACCGACAAACCGAAAAAAAAAATTAACCAAGTCCTTGATGCCATTATCGATAAGCGATGAATATGTACAAATTCCCACACGCTAAGTGTTTCGCAGTGGGGCCCAGTTATGGGTAGCAATCAACACGACTGGACCCACCAGGCACCTGGCGCGACACACTGTCAACTGTGTGCATGTAATTGATGTTCTTAATGCTCAGTGTTGTCAATATCTGAGCACAACTTACTTAAGTAGGTACCCAGTCCTGTGCTGGAGCTCCATTTGTTAGCTGAAGATGGCACTAACCCTACATTATCTGCATTGGAAATATGAAAAGACAGGTTTTTACATGTTTTTACATGGACATGGCACAATGGAGTGCCCTTGAAGGAAAAATCAGGAAACTCAGATGACCTATTACGCATGAACGGAAATGCGAGTCCTTGTGGTGTGCACGGAATGTAGAGGGTTTTAAATCATTAGGGACTCATTCAGCTGCTATACGTAAAGAGGGCCGTCTCCTCTGGTAGTGATCGTCCAACGCACCGGCCCAGCTCAAATGTCATGACAAAGAACAAAAAGAAAGTCAAAGTGTCCGCGCCTTCTAATTATCAATAAAGACGTAATCACCATTCCTCGTTTCCTCGATTCTGCGCCGAAAGACTCTTCCCATGCGTGACATGCGCCCCCAACAGTCGTGCGAGACACGTGGTATCTATCCCAAGCCCACGCACAACGTGGTGGGCTGTGTGCTGAGATTGATTAGCAGCATTTGCCGCTCTTAGCGGATTCGTCGTCAGCCGGCTTGCTGAGCGAGATGTTGGTTCCGGCGCCGATCGTAGCCTGAGCGCCATCGCCACTGTCGAGAGCCTTACTGGACACAATCCGGTAAATTTCTAAGTTGGACAATAGTTGTTAGAAGCGTTTAGACAATTAACCATGCTTACATGGCACAGCAGCGAAAATAGATTCCGTACCAGTGAGAATGTTTTGGAAGGCAAGCTCAACGTTGCTGGCATCCAAAGCTGAGGTCTCGATGAATGACAGGTGGTTTTCACCTGCAGTATGTCTGGTCAGTGCATGCCAGGAATAAATACATGGCAAGAGCGCATCTAGCTTGGATCGTACGTACTGGCAAAAGATTTGGCTTCTTCAGTGGGCACTGCTCTGAGATGCCTCAAATCGCTCTTGTTTCCGACGAGCATAATGACAATATTAGCATCGGCGTGGTCCCGCAGCTCCTTCAGCCATCGGGTGACGTTCTCGTAAGTCTGATGTTTGCTGATGTCGTAGACGAGTAGGGCACCGACAGCACCGCGGTAGTAGGCAGACGTAATGGCGCGATAGCGTTCCTGCCCGGCAGTGTCCCAAATTTGCGCCTTGATTGTTTTGGAATCGACCTGAATCGACCTGGTGGCAAACTCGACACCGATGGTGGACTTGGAGTCCAGGTTGAACTCGTTTCGGGTAAATCGGCTGAGAAGGTTGGATTTTCCGACTCCAGAGTCTCCGATCAAAACCACTAGGTGATAGAAATGTTAGCCCCGTCGCGCGGCAGAGGAGTCTAAGCGAGGCCGGTCAGCCATTGGGGATGGCGGTGGGTGTACCTTTGAAGAGGAACTGTCACGGGCGGCAGAGCCCCTATCGTTAGTGATTGCGCAGCGAGATCGAGGGGCAAGGGAGGGGCAGTCCGTACATCATATTCATCGTTGGCCATGGCGGCGGTATTGGGTGTGAGAGGAGAGTTCGACAAGCGAAAGCGTTGCAGAGCAGTGTTGGCGGCAGATGCGCAGAGTTGTTAAGGGAGACGGTGTATGTCAGTCGTCGAAGTGGATGTGGTGGTGTGGGTGCAGATGTGTGGAGGGGGAAGAGTTCCAAAGCAGGTGCGCGTAGTTGTTGTAGCGTGGAGGTCCAAGGTCAAGGGTCACTTGAGCATGCATGTGCACCAGTTGGCTTCAAATGAGACCAGACTTAACGAGCGGTGCCGATTGCTGATTAGGCCACTGCTTTCAGCACCTATGCCAGGCCCTGGTGCAGGGAGGAGTCAATTCTTCAGATGCATGTGGTCTTGAAAGAGACCGGCCCAGGCATTCACTTGGGAGACTACATAGAAGCAGGCGCCCGACGGACACCGCCTTAGAATGGTGTTCTGTGGCCTCCAAGACAACATTCAACATTGAATACTGACATGGAACGTTGGACTTTGAGCCTTCAATGTTCCCACATCAACAAAGCCTGGGCGGCGCTCGGGGTCCCGCTCAGGCAGTCATCCGTCAAACAGCCAACAGAATGGGGCGTAAAATGGCGTGGATTGATTGGCAGAGCGGCGGAGGCTCAGGCCAAAGGATGCATCAAGCACCAACAATGACGGGCCACTGAACCAGACGTGTATCAAAGGTGTTGTGACAAGTTCGAGTTTTTCTTCGAGGATGTCGATTGTACTCCGCACAAAGTGCATGCATCTATGTATGTTACTTATAGCAAGCAATGAATGTTCACAAACCGCTCTGAACTTCCACATTGCACCCGCCTTTCATGGAGAGCCTGGGCAAGGCAGACAAGATTCTGGCCTCCCTTCAAGGGCCGTCGGCCGATGGACTCCGTTGATCTTGAGACTGCTGGGTGCTTAAGTAAGTACAACTCTCGATACAAAGCCGGCCATTGTATTTGGTAATTTTGCTGCTGCTCTGGTCTGCATATATCGGGCTCGTCTGCCTGCCTGAAGGCTGCAGCGTTGACGAGTGCAGCTACATACAGTCTATGGCACATTATATTCGCCTATCAACAAGCATACGCTAATAGTATACTCCAGCCTACTTTAAGGCACCAGCTCGGGCCAAACACTTTTTTGCCTCCCATCGTAATGAAGCAAGGCAGCAATATTGCAGCCACTTAATCCGTAGGAGGATGAACAGAGTGGATCATAGATTCATGACGAACTGGATCTTACTCAGACCCAATGCAAAAATGTTTGCATTGGAGTGCTTTACTGGGAATAATATTACCCGATCAGTAACAAGACCGGAAACTCTCACCCTACCCACTGAAGTTTGGCATCGGTTCGGTGCACGGATGTCCAGTGTTTGGGGCCTCGTTACAACATTGGATATTGGCGTCGATCCTTGTTTCGAGGGTTCCGTCATACCAGGTACCTCGTACCTACATACCATGTGCATGTAAACACATGCCCCGACAAGTCAATGGCCCGTATCGGCTTTGCAGAACGACCGACTCGTCCTGGTTAGAAACTAGTTGCATCAGAATGTGCAACAGGCGAGGAACCATTGTCTTGATCTTCTGATGACATTTCGTTGGTGCTTCGTGGAAGGATTTCAGGGTTGGAACTGACCATACAATCTGTCACAGTTGCTCAGTCATACATGTATCCAAGGCCATCATTTCACCTGGACACTTGCCAAGGAACTCAGGATGCATCTAGTAGGAAGGTACCTACCTAGGTAGGTACTTGCCTAAAGGTTATGTAGCCTGGTATTCAAGGCTCAGCTGTTGGCAGCTGGCAGCATCTGCAGGAGCCCTATTTGTCGCACCAGACTGTTTGCCAAATGCCAAACGCGGTCGTTCATGAGGAAGGAGCTTTGAATATTTTCGCAGCCTCTGTGCTCGATCTGTTTGTCAACTCCGTCCATCGAAAAGGATAAATAAAATAAACTTCCGCGTTCATCAGTGCCGGAGTAAAAAAGACTCGAATACATGGGCCATATCAACATCCAGTCCAGCAGTAATGACTCTGACCGAGGCCAGCCTTTACTTCATGCACTGATTTCACGATAACGCGTTATTAATATAGACGCAGCCGCCTGCGAGATACTTCCTCAGGTTAGTAATCAGAAACCAAGGCCGTGGTTTCGAAATTAACGAATAATTCTAGGTCTCATCCGGATGTGACTGACAACTACTTAGCTTATCGCGCTAATGACTTCCGAGGATCTGTCTCTTTCTGACCCTTCTTCTGATGAAAGCTTGTCACTTTCATCTGCTTCTGACGAAGCATTCCCACAAGATGAATGGGCTGTACGCAGAATACTAGCAGAAGCGAAAGTCCAAGGCGAAATAAAATACCTGATAGATTGGGACGGCTTCGATCTATGCGATGCCACTTGGGAGCCTGCCGAACATTTGAGCGAGGGTCTCTTAGCAGACTGGCTAACTACTAAGAAGAAAACCGGTAAGAAGACAGTGCCAGGGTTTAAGATTGATGAATGGAGGCAAGCTGTGAATGACGACATTCGTGCCAAGTATGCAAAACATACAAAGAGAAATCAGCAAAGAGCACGTTTGGGGCTGGGGCAAAGCGAGCTGGACTTCACATTAGAGCAGTGGATAAATTCGGTGCAAGGACCATCGGAGGATGATACAACAGATACAAATGAAGAGCACATCCAGGAGAAATATTCTGCTCCTGTTTCAGAGCCGCCTACTACCGAGCCAAGGATAATTGGACAGAGCTCAGCCAGGATCAATGACCAATCTAAAGAACAAAAGGCAAGAAGTTCACTTCGTGAGTCTCAAGGAATCCAAGACGACCGGACTCTGTCGATTAAGGAAGGATCAGTCTTGCAGTTTGAGTGTCAAACCTCTCACGGCCCTCCAGAATCTCCACAGGACTCTCCCGAGAATGAGAAAAAGTCACCGGTACAAGCAGCACAGGCCGGTTTATGTGCGTTAGATTCACAAAAGAGCACATTGAGTTCTACACCTAAGTCTAAAGGAGCACCGCATCAGCCCGATTCTCTACCAAAGACTGCTGTTAGGTTCAGAATACCGTCAGTTGATTCGGCGTTAATGCCAAATGTGTTCGTTGGCGGGAAGAAGCGAAAGGCTCGACAAAACCTGCTGGACGCGGCATCCGACCCGAGTCGGCCGCCAAAGTTCCTGAATCACCACAAACAGCGCTTAATAGAGAAAGGCTTGAGAGATAAGGAGGGCGTGACACCTCCAAGAAAAGAGGGCAATGAACCTCTGAGAGTGCATCCCATACAGGCTGCTATGCAACCCATAAATACAATGCCCACGAGTGGTAAAATTAGAGGCATTCTCGTACCTCGAAGTTCTCTGGATCGTGTTATACCAAAGCCTAGCCCAAAGAAAAAGAGGGTACACTGGGAAGATGATCTTATTTCTCAGAAACCGCAAATCCCAGCTGAGTTGGAGAGCCTTTTTGTTTCAGATGAGCCATCAATAGTGGCTCTAAATGCCGATTTCTGCGCCATGGGGGCTTCCGCAGAGTCTCCCTCCAAAGGAGCTCCTTCAATTAGTTCAGCGGAGCTTCCCCCCAGCTTCGATCGTTCTACAATCTCTAAACCATGTCAATTCGGGAGCCCTGACGGCTTATTCGCAACGTTAGACTTCAGAGATCTACAACTCAAGAACAAGCCTTCCTGGTCCTATTGTTTTGATGGTTCAGATCGGCTAGTATTTTGCCATGTCTGCACAGTACATGATCTTCTCTCGCAAACGGCGTGCGGAGCGCTTGAGGAATTGAGCATTTGTCAAGGTACAACTTCATGCAGTGGCATGGACAAGAATATCGTTATGTTGGTAGCCAACCGGCTACAATCAGGGTATTTTGCCGCAGTATGTTTTCAAAATGACTTCTGCATTCTCATCTTCTGCCCGTCGTTTCTGGACTGGACAGACGCATCTCCTGACATCGCCAATTCACCATGTGAGAACATTGGACTTAGGTTCTTGATCTTTAAACCAAGTCCTTTGTTTAAAAATTCAATGCTAGCCTCTATTAACCCACTATCGTCAAGGGCGTCCGACTTTATCGCCGGTAGTCTCAGTGCATTCAACTTCTTTTTTGGAACCATATACAGGGACCTGGTATTTGGTCGGAAAGATGACAAGGCCACAAATAATTTCTTTCTGGTATTTCCGCCCTCGTATCAAGAAGAAGCTGTATTAATTTCACAGTGGTTACGGGAATCGGTACCCAGTTGCAATATAAAATCGAGCTTGCAACCCGGCCAGTGGTCTAACTTCTTGACACTTGACAGTAGCATTGTCATATTTCATGAAGAAGTTCTCTGGACTATTCCATCGCTCCCGAATATATCTACCATTCTTCACAGCCAAAGTTGGAATCTTGAATGCTTTGTGTTATCTTCCTCCGGAGATTTTGGGCAAAACATCCAACGATTTAACCACACTGGTCCAATAGAAGGCAACTATCGCCTAACTCAAATCTTTTCGCAGGGAACAGTAATACTGCTCACGCCAAGCTTCGTGGTATCCCAACCAGCGCAAGCGTACAATTTTCTTAAATGGTTCTGGCAGCATTATGATAACCATGGTACAAAGCACGGACCAGCAAGGTTGGCCGTATGCTCTGACATATGTGACTGGTTGTTTGATCTATCACAAAGCAAGGGTGCTACAAGGGGAGTGTCAGAGCCATGCCATCCAGGCATCAGGGCGACTGAAAGAGCTGTTGAAGCCTTAACTAAGTGTTGCAATCTTATGCAGTATATTATTGCAGAAACAGAGAATTTCGAAGAAGGACCACTGGTATACGCGCCCGATGTATTGGATGGAAATGATGAGCAGAGCCTAGTCAACTGGTTTGGTTCCTGGGCAATGCTCCATATTCAACAATTCAGGAAGTTCCTTGTGCTAGGGTCCAGCTACCAAACAGAAGTAAGGTTATCACGGGTTATTCGACCGGTCCAGTTCGTGACATGCTGTACAGAGCACCTCCCCCCTCAGGACCTTATCACAGTTCAAACACCACATTGTCTGCAACCGGGAGCGGCTAGCGTAATTCCAGAAGCTATGTTGGCCGCAAAGACGGGAGAGTTCCTCACGGACATCGAAAAGGGCTACGGAGGTTTATCCTTCTCCCCTCTGGTCCTGTATCGATACCCAATTACTTGTTGGGATTCTGAGACTATTTTACAATTGGGGGATTGCAAGTCGTGTTTCAAGGACTACAGCAACTGGTTCAATCATTTTAAGGAGCCATTCTTCTCGAGACCGATGGGGTTATGCTCCATAAATATGCTACCTAACTACAAAAATACTTACTTGGGGCTATTCTATACTAGAGATGAAGAACGGAAATCTGTGTGCTCTTCATCTCGCGAAGCACAGGTCCAAAACCTTCGTCCCTGGATTGCCATTTACAGGCCTGCTGATATTCACACCAGACCATGGAAGAACATGGAGTTATTGATTTGGGACCCTTTAATCCGCAACAGTGTGTTTCAGGGCAATGAATTTTACGAAGGAGAACTTCTTTCTGCTCAAGAGAGGCTTGTTAGTTATATTGTGGACAGGAGTCAAGATTTAAAAACTACACTTCCTCTCGAGCGAGTCTGGGTTGGGCCGTTCGATGACCACCAGGACGATGGATTTGTGGATCCCTTTGATTGCGTGTTGAGCTGGATTAGGACCATCTCTAACTCGGTGAAAGAGAGACTTCCCTTGTACGGGAAACAACTTTCATCTCGAGGATGGAAACAAGTCGACCTGGAAGATTTGCTCACGAGGGCCGGCGAAGGCAATGTTCCGCGGCAGATATCGGAAACCCGATCTGCCAATAAGCAATGTCTTCCACTCCGGACAGTTTTCCAAGCGCCCAAGCCGAATATAGGCGCCAGGAGGTCGCCCACATGCAATAATCGCTTACAGGCGGCTATGTTGAGACACCAAGACTCGAACGAGATATATTTCACCTTTCAACCAACCTTGAAATGGTATGGCGAGCAGGTGGCGGCAGGCAGGGGCCTTCAGCACATTAAAGTTTTAGACTGGCAAACTTTCTTTACGCGTCACAAAATCCACGATCCCGAGGATTAAGGTGGACATAGGTTGCATCATTGCATTGGAACAGAGATCTTTAGACTATACAGCATTGCTAGGCACGGCGTTAAAGTTGGGTGGGCGGGGTTGGGCTCCAGGGAATGAATGAATATCTCCTGGCTTCTATTTAAGTTGATTCGTTGCTAGCTAGAGATAAGGTAGAGTCAACTCTAGAGGTTCGTAAACAGCTTTGTAATATGCACGCCATTGTTTCTGCGACTAGCAAAGCAAACAGACGTCCTCCAGTGACTCGGTCTCTGGTGAGCCGGCCAGATGGAGCGCCATCAAGTAATCATTATCTTGTTGAAGCAGGAAAGTTCCTGGTGCTCAGAAGCACACCCTTGACGCGCCTAATGTTATCCCTCACTTTGCGAATTTCATCTTCTGGTTCGTTCCTTTTTGCGGACCCATATATATCATAACCGCCGACAAACTCAGTATATCCGCCGTACGTCATACCATCAAGATCATCCCGGAGGAGATCTAACAAGGTCTTGACATCCTCAAACCCCTCGCTTTGAGCCCGGTATTGATCTTTGAGAATGGAAAGGGATTTTGTTAGAGAGGTCAATGTATCGGCATGGCGCTTAGATGTGGGCTCAGATTCCTTGGGAGCGGGCGTAGCATTCTGGTCTATTAATGAGGTTTGCGTCCCGATGTCGCGATGAAACATTTCTGTAGGGTCTTCGGCGTCGCTGCCGTCACTATCTTCGGATGATGTGGGCTTGGAAGTAGTAGATGGGACCACGGACACGGTCTTTTCGAGCTGGGCAACCAAGTTGTCGAGTCTCTTATATGTTACGTCGTGCAGTTCCGTTCGTGCATCAGTCAAGTTCTCAACCATGGGGGCAATGAGGTACTTGCTGGTTGCGTATAGTACGGTTGATAGGCCAGCAAAAGCATACAAAGTGTTGAAGATGCCATTCTTAGTAACGAGCGGCGGCGGCCGTTCTGGCTTGACGAGGAACTCTGGGTATGTGACGATGGGAGGGCGGTCGCTGGCAGCGCTGAGCGTTGCCGAGTTGTGCAAGACAGACGTGGTTTGTGTGCTACCTGATTCGGGCGTGTCGTTCTGTGCAAGGGCACATGGGTCAGCGACTTATTCGACTGCTCGGCATGGGATAAACAAACAGGCGGGCAATTCAACCGACTTGTGATGATGATTCTGAGTCCATGTCTGAGTGCCCTAGTAGCTTCTCAACGTCGCCTTCGCTGATGCCTTTGGACCTGAGGAATTCGGCCTTCTTCGCCGGCGACGCTGATTTTACTGGGTCTTCGTCGAGGAATCTGCGCGCAATTTGAAGCTGCTGATGGTAATCAGTCTGCTGGGCTGGTGGTTCCGGCTCGATGGCGTTCTCGGCCGAGGCTTCTCGCTGCCATGCCGGGACAGCGGCAACAGGCTTCTTGTTCTGGTCAGAGTCGCCCATGCCTGGTACGCTTAGTACGTTCGATGAGGCGTCGTAATGGAATCCAGGGCGATTATCAATGAGGGAGGCAAGTGGAGGAAGCAGACGTTAAATGGGACAATTGTGCGGACCCTGGGAGCTGGGGATGCCTCGGCAAAAGATCAGTGAAGGGCGCAGTCAAGAAATCTGGGGAACAGTCGACGCAACGGGCAAAGGAACTGTCACAGGCCAGGCAGCTGCAGCGAGCCAGCCCAGCGCCTGCTCAGCGCCTACCAGCGTCTAAGATGACTTGACTTGACTTGACCACATGCAGCCCCACAATGCAGTCAGTTTGCCGCCAGGCAACGAGTGCCAACTGTGCCTGTGCCAGTGCCAGCCTATCAATTGATGTCTCCACCAATGGTCAGCCGCGCCAGGTCAAGCTACTCGTCCTGCCTGCCATCGCACTCTCACACCCTTGGATTGATATCCCGGACGCTCCAAGCATCTCGAAAACAGCTACCTTCAGCCTGTTCTATTACATTCTGCTTCTTGTAAAGGCGGAGAGGCCCTACGTAGCATCAATCACTGTTTTTCTCCCCCTTGGAGCATCCCTCAACCCGCGACCTGGCGCCACGAACCCAGCCTTAGCTCTTCGTTGGCATTTCTGGTGACGATTGGTTCCGTCAACATCGCAACCGGGGGTGATTGAAACAAATATTGAACTGTGGACTCCATCTCCCATTATCCGTTGATTCCGGTCCGTCTCGACGCTGGCTTGCTGGTCATCCTGGCTACACCCCGACGTGTCAGAGTGTCCATTGGCCAACTGGGCGCATTTGTGACACCGCCGAAGGGCAAGGCTGAACATTTGACTGACCAATTCGCGATACTCGTCAGTCACACAGCAGGTAAGCCATCTGATCTTTTCTTTTCTTTTTGCTGCTGCAGTCTTTACCCAGCGTGCCCAATATGCCTCTTCATTCCTCGGGAGCGCCTCACAATTGTTGCACAGTGCGATTCCCATATCGACCAGACGACATCTTCATGAACCTGGTCCGTTTGCCCTGCAACAACATTCAAAGGGAAATTGCCATTTGCCGCTTGTCCCTTACCAAAAGAGACGGCGATATGAACCACAAAGCCGGGTCTGAGCCACACATTGCGTGAAAAGGTCGCATTGAGGCACAAGCTGTGTCTGGAGCCGTCTCGTGCTCTGGGCGCTCTGGCGCTCTGGCGATCCGATGCCTGCCTTCTCCCTGGCTGGCCACCTGGCCTGTTGTGTCGTGTTGGCGCGCCGTTGCTTCGTCATTTGTGTAACCCGACTTGAGGGTCTCCCGCTTGTTACTTGTCGAGCACTCGAGGCACACGTGCAGCAGCTTTTGGATGCAACGCTGGCCAATAAATCGAGCTCTTTCGGTGTCGAGGCTTGAGTGCTGCACGAGTACTGTGCCACCTTGACTTGGTGACGGTTGGCCAAAGTTGGCCAAAGTTGCAGTATCAACCATCTCGACGGCGAACCCTGGATTCTGCCGCCCAGCCCACCCCCTGACTTCCAAACCCGAGTCCTTCAACCTACTTGGGCTCAGTGGTTATTGCTTGCAAATTGAGTCCGTCGATTGGGACATTCCTCTCCCCTACAGCAACCTTTCGCGCTACAATGGCCTCACGACCGCGGCGTTCTGCCGCCACGAAAGCAAACGAGTCTATCTCTGTTCATGCAAAATGGGCTGACGCTAGTGAAAGAAGTGAGCGCAGTACAATGACTTCCCGCCGATCTGGCCGCACCTCTGGCGCAGGTGCTTCAAGAGACCTGCCATCGTCCCCTGATGAAAGCGTTACGGTAAAAACGACGTCCAGGTCGACTCGTGGTGCCAATCGACGAAGTGATCGTTTTGACGGAGGCGAGATTGTCCATGGTACTAGAAACCGTGGTGGCAGAAAAAATTATGTAATCGACTCTAGCCCTGACGAGGAGGAGGAAGAAGATGCTGAAGGTGATGACGTTGAAGACGCAGATGAAGATGCCGAAGGAGATATGGAGGTTGATGCCGAGGGCGACGATATTGATGCAGAAGGGGAGGAAGATGCAGAAGGAGATATTGATATGGATGCACCGGTAGTCTCACGTACGATTAGGGTATCGCAACCCGCTCCTAGGTCTGCCGCCAAAGTCGCTGCCTCCAAGATGGCCATTGGCGAGGATGAAGAGGACGAAGACGATGACGATGACGACGAGTTAAGTGATCCTGTAGACAGTGATGAAGGTGAGCAGACAATGGGATTTGGTGATGAGACAATGGCCGACGAGGATGCCGAGGGCGAAGAGATAGAGGTTGCGGGGGAAGACGAAGAAGAGGAGGAGGAGGAGGAAGAAGAGGAAGACGAGGTGGAGGAAGGCGACGAAGATGCTGAAGGCGAAGAGGTTGGCAATGCTGAAGCCGAGAGTGACGGAGGTACTCGGGAAGGCACCCCTGATCTTACCAAAATGACAAAGCGTCAGAGGGCCAGATTTGAGGAAGAACCGCAGGAATACATGAAGTTGTCTGATGGTAAGTGCATCGTCATCAGCAGAGCTACAGGGTCTTAGTAGCTGACGTGAACAACAGAGGTTCAAGTGAAGAAGCACTTCACAGCAGAAGAGCTGTCCATGAGGCGACAGGAAATGGCTCGTCGCCGTCGCAACCTCAGTGAGAAGCGCAACGAGGAGGTCAAGGTATGCTGGACCACAACATGGCCTTGCAAAACACGTAACTGGTTCACGTATGCTGATGGAATTTTAGATGGAAACTATCAACAAACTTCTCAAGAAGCAAGCGCCAAAGATTAATCGCAAGGCGGCCGCTGCAGCTGCCCGGGCCGACAGTCCTACAGAGGAATTGTATAGACCTGATCCTACACTCATACGCTGGGTAAACAACAAGAATGGGAGCAGAGTATCGGTGCCCGCGGATATCATGACCGGTCCAGCCGGCCAAGTCTTCTCGAAAGGTGGCGGTCTGGCATCCGGGAAGATGGTCGAAGAGGTAGCTTAGACGAACCTGGCAGCATGCACGACTTGACCTTTGAGCTCAGGTTGGGAGGAGATTCATGCTGTGGTGGAGTCGAGGGTCAAAGGACGCTTGTGAATTAGAGGACAACAACATCAAGGGAGTATTGGTTTATTGCCTTTTGACATAGCTAGGCAGGTACTTGAGTGAACTTTTACCAAAGGGGACTTGACGTGAAGACAAACATGGTGTACTCAAAAGCGCCAGCCACGATTCGTAATACGTTATTTGAAAAGCATCCACACCAGTGTATTGAATTACAACATAGCAAGGAAGACGGGGGCTTTGCCTTTGTGCGCCGAGGTTGTGAAGCAGTGATTGATTGAGCCTCCAGTCTGTAGACGAAGGGCTCTAAATCTATGACTTTGCTCGTGGCATAGGAACAAAAGCCTACGGCAGTGAAGGCATGCAAAAAGAGACGGAGGCTTTTGGGGCGCAGAAAATCAACTTTGCGACGACACATACAATATATAGTCATGCTGCGATGGGAAGACGAAGTGATGTGGCTTTGTTAAGTTGATAGGAAGGGCCCCTTGTCGTCGTCATGGTGTCTGTCGTCTTCTCAAGACAAGTATGGAAGCAGTATTAAGCACACTCAAAACAAAATGGCACGTCCATACCATGCTTTGGTTAACGAATCGCACAAATGTCAAGGCTCAATTCAAGGCGACGCCACGGCCCAGATTTGCGAATTGCGACGTTGTTTTCGCACCACATCCCACTACCTAGGTACGTTCGACTACCTGACTTTGTTCTCACCCAAGTCTCACCATCTCATCCCAACCTACCCAGCCACCACTTAGGCGACAAAATGTGAAGGAAACATAGTTCAACATGTTGACGATGTTCATTGCTACTACCTTGTTCCGTCTCTTTGCCGCTTCCCTTTCTCCCCCCCGCCCTTGTCTTGTTTTTTGCGTGTTCCTGGATTGTTATATCGAGCTCTCCTTGTTCAAAATGTCTTCTTTCAGCTGATGCACCCTTGCCCCGTACAGCAGCGGCGGATTTATTATATATATCTGCCCATTCGCTTCACTACTTTTGTGTCGACAATCAACGCACACAACCCCCCCCTGCCCCTATTCTTCCGACTTCCAGGTGTAGTTCCTTGGTATAGGATAGGACAGCCTACAAGTACAAGGCCCTGTAAACGACGGCGAGCCACGACTTGCAAAAAAGAGCGGCCGTGGAGTGTCTCTTTTCGGGGCTTTTTTTGTCTACCCGATCACCAACGGCTTCGACAGATGGACGACAACACTCAACGATACTATGCTGGGATGGCAACCCCTGACCACAACTTCACCCCTCCAATGGTAAGAACCAACCGTCTGCTTTGAATTTTGGGAATCTGTACAAGCTAATAAGAGGAATTTCAAGTCTTCACCCAGGAATACGAGCACGAGCATGAGAAACAGGGAGCTCCCAGCTGGAAACATCAACCAGGTCACCCATGGCCGGCCCGTCAATGGCTATGTCAACGTCAACAGTACAGGTAGCCAGAGAAACCCCAACAACAACTGTTACACCTCCTTCGACAATAACCTAAACGCCAGTGGTATGATGCCTTTTGCCCGCCAAGGAAGTCAGCCTACTCCCGCTGGTAGCAGCAGGCCAAACAAGGCTCATCATATACCAATGCATCCGCAAATGCACCCGCCATGGTCTATGGCAAGCAACTCTCCGTATCAAAGTCCACACGCCCCCGGCAGGGTTGGAGCAAACACCCCGATGATAGCTCGTGGACAGGCACCGTTCAATTCTCCCTACCCCCAGCGGCATCAGGGCGTCCCACAACGAATGATGCCGCCTGGACCCCACGAGAATCAACTCCCAAACCGAAGAATGCCTCAATATTGTCAACAACCGCTTGCTCAGCCCTCCCCAGATATCTCGTGGGACGTGATTCGGCAGGGGCAATACGGACAAGCTGTTCAAACCGGCAATCAAGGCACCAGAGAGCCTCGTTTAAATATAACTAGCACGCGTAAGTTCCACTCCTTTCAGGATTTATTCCGCACAGTTCTTGCTAAGGCGCGAGACAGGTCCGCAACCCAACACGACTCCAGCGGGCACATCTCGTCAGATGCCCAATGTTACCTTCCCCGGCCGTCCAAACACCTACAAGCAGCAAGATGACTCTGTTAACGAAGGGGCCAAAGGGCCAGTTCTCACGGTGGAACCGGAGAGCGTGGTGACGCCGCAGTCTATTGACACTGGAGATGAGAATGATTTTCTTTCAGGTGCACGGGCGCCACGTCTTTCGGCTGCTGTTAAAGAGGGAGTGGAGAAAGCATTTGAAACTGGGCTGCTTCAGGGTCAGAGCGTAGTCTTCTCAAGCTTTGAAAAGGAGTTTCGCGAGAGCCGCACTATTTTCGGGGTGACGACGACTATGTCTAGAAACAAAGCAGCGGATCAAGTCATCAAAAATGTTCAAGACCAACTTAAAGCATTGTTCGATCCCTGTAAGGCAGGGGTTCCGACGCACCCGGGCGTGATACAGACTCGACAATCGCTAGAGAAGAGCATCAGTAACGGTAACCAAGAAGCTCCAGCACATCGCGCAGAGGAGACATCACGAACAAAGGACGCTGCAGCTGGGGCCCAGGAAAGTAATGAAAAAAATCCATCACGGGCTAATCAGACTATTCATAGCAACAAGACCCCCAAGAGTGCGAGAAGGGAGGCCAGATCCCAAACACCGCAAAGTTCGCAAATAGTCCCAGGCCGCAGGCGCAGCAAAAGCAAACCTGTGGGCTACACCATTCTTCGCGTTCATGATGAGTATAGTTATGAAGGGAACAAATTCCCTTCGTACCAATGTTCCGACGGGCATAGGCGTATCAGCAGTCCAACCATGGTCGAGGAGCGCACACAACAACAAACCAGAGCTCCTGCGAATCCTGCGAATCCTACTCCGGCTCCGGCGATGGGCACGCCATCCCACACGGCAAAGACATTCTCCAAGCGAGAACTCGAGCCAGAAAGCGACCGTTCCCGTGTGTCGAAGAAGACCAAGGTCGCTCACCCATCGGACCCGGCGACTATGAGCCTTCCATCTGGCGCATCATTTGAGCCTGTGTTGTCTGGTTTCGCCAACCAAAATGCTACAGAGATTATGGCCAGCGACTTTAATCAGCTTCAGAACCTTGCGTGTCATATGCAACAACAAACGGATCCATACGCTGCAGCTGGCACTACTCCAGCCGTTTTCCCGGGCAATGCGGAAAACAACTTGTTGCAACCAGTTCAGCATACCCAAGCGCCCGCGATAGTACCTGATGGTTAGGACCCTCAGACTAATAGCAGACTCGACGAAGTGTTTGATTTGGCGCGGTTTGAGGCAGATTTCGGCCACGATGGCACACAAACCATCAAGCTCGAGGACGCGGAGCAAGCCATCGCAGCAAGGGCAGGAGATACAACCTACGTATCAACAGGAGAGGGAGTAGCAGAATACGACCCATCTGTGCGCGATGCCCAGGGACGTCGCGAGAAGAAGCAGATGCCAAAGAGGAAGGAAATGGACGCAGCCGAGCGCCACAGAGCAGCGGATCAAGGACCAGAAGGCAGAGAACTGCAGGGCGAGCAAAAGAGGCCAGCAGTGAGAGGCGGAATGGCTCCGATTATCGAACAAGGCACGGCTGCGGGTATCCCCTCGCGCGCGTGTCAAGAATTCGATGCGCCCACGATGAGCTCCGCGAATGCTGCCAACGGTGGAATGCTCCCCGTGGCAGGGGACGGCTCTACGTACGTGGAACCAAACCTGCTCGGTTACTTTGACCCTGGGTTTGATGCGTACGTAGGGTACGACGGCGCGGACAGCTACAACGAGGCGGGCGTCCTGGCGGGAGGACAGTTGTTTTCCGACCAGTTGGAAGACTTGGGGTTTGGGGTGGGATAATAGCGCAATCATTTCTTTCTTTCTTTCTTTCTTTTTTTAAAAAAAGCTTGCAGCGATCATCTTTTGCACAATATTTAGAGGTATGTTTTGTTTGCATGGTTCAGCGGGCAGACCTGAGAAAGGTAAGGCGACACGGAGGACGACGCCATCTGCCGCCGCAGGAAGAGGGCTGAGAATTGGATTTTCTTGGGAGAAAAGAAAGACACCAACCAGACAGGATAGATAGAGTGGTGTGTTACTCGGTACTTTGCGTTGATTTTGCTTGCAGGCAGCCAGAGTTTATATTCGGATTCGGCTTCGAGATGCTCGATGCTCGATGCTCGAGATGGAGACGATTCCGGACACGGATAAACTTGGAGTGCCATAGACTAAACAGTGCTAAACTCGTTCTTTTCCTCTATTTTTCATTTTATTTTCTTTTTAAATCAAGTTGGGTGCAGTTTGAAAAGATGAGGCGGCATCTGGAGGACAGAGTACCGAGTGCAACAGTCTTGCTAAGCCGGCAGGTTGACCCTGTTCCTAGATACGGACCACGCCGGCAAGGCTGCCCAGTTAAAGGGGGACCGCGTGATGTAATTTGATTATCTGCCATCTGCAGCCATGCATGCATTGCCAAGGTCCATGTTCTGTTTCATGTTGCGAGACGGCGTATTCACGCCCCCCCAGAATGCGTCTGCGGGGGCGCTTCGGACCAAGCTTGGGATTCGGATATGTTGTCTTGGAAATGCCCAGCTGCGCGCTGACGAACGCACGACGACGGTAGGGATATACAATTGCCTGGCACGGATGGGCTTGGTGCGACTTTGATTTTTGAAGATGTGCCGTCATGTGCAGACGAATTGTGGCGTTGCGTGCGCATGTATGTATGGCAGCACGAGCATTGGCATTGAAAAAAAATATAATTAAATAAAATAAACTGAGAGAAGAAAAGCCAGGCATATTACATGCTACACACTCCGTACATAGCAGGTAGGTTGGTCGATACACGCAAAAACATGTAATTATCAATTGAAAATGTTGAAACCATGCCCTGCCCTTGTAAGGCTACACGTGGATCGACACCTGGACCCTGGTCAGTTGACTACTATTGACTTGTAGTAGTACTACATAGGTACTCCGTAGCTGACATTGACATGATTCTGCGCATCGGCGCCTGTCTTGGATCGTGGTGGTGGTGGGTCGTCGACGCGAGTCAATCCGTTGATGGCATTTGATGTCTTTGGTGGCCGGCTTATACCCACGATGCCAACTGGTCCTGCAGTGTGCACGCCGAGTCGTACATGACGCCACACGACAATCCCGCCGACAGCACTCGACGACTCGGATATACATGCACATGCGTCTGGGCCACGGCATGATATGAGTGCCACTGGGAACTGCACACTGGTCCAAGTTGGGTGGTTAGTGCAGGGCGCGTGGCCGAATGCAGCTGCACCAGTTGAACAAGTAACACCGTAGACACTCGAGCTGTTCAGGCCACTGCCGTCGCCCCCGAAATGGAGCTGTCAATGCTTGCTTGTTGAATAGACGCGGCGCCGACTATCCGATTGGTGCCGCTCACCAGCGCAATTGGTGCCGCCGTGGATTCCATGCCTTGAATGTTGACGGTTCTGCTGCAGGGAGTCAGTCACACGACCTCGAATATGAGGTGGTTGGAAGTGCTTGGCCGCGACTCCACTACACAAGTACAAATACATGTGTTATTATTTGACACCCTGCTTGCCTGGCTTCTTTTGACTTGCATCTTGCGTTCCTAAAAAATAAATAAAAATTGAATCAAATAACGCATGAAATGGCTGGTATGGGCTAGGGGAAAAGGACGTTGCTCGTCGTCGGCTTGATCGTGTCCGAAGCGTTGACAAGTTGGCCTTGGAATCTTCACACTACTACTAGTACATATCGAGGGCTGGCGGCGCCTCAACCCCACTTTTTGGCGAGTGTGGGACCCTGGTTTGCCTTTTCAATGGTACGCGGGACCGATTGACCAGACTTGACTTGGCCATGGCCTCGGGGTATCATTTTTTTTGTCAATCCAACGTTGGTTTTTGCCAGCCGTCTCCTCGTGAGTTTCTTGGGTGGCGGCGGCGGCAGCAGCAGCAGCAGAGAAGACAACAAACGACGACGACGACGGCGGCGGCGGCTGTTTGGCTTGTACATACATAACTCTCTGTCTGGTTGTCTGTCTATTCTCTGTCCACCGCCCATCGCCACGGCTGGCACATGTCCCTTCTGTGGAACAATCAAATTCCCACTTGACGCTTCAAGGCTCTTTCTTGCCTGTTTGCCCAACATAAGGTCACACGCCCTGCCTTGGGCCTGGCGGCATCTTCTGTCTCACGCAGTCTTGCCCTTCAATGTTCGCGCTGCCGCCTGCCCGCCTCATGTCGCAGTGACACGTCTTTGTCCCGCTACACCTCGACTTGAACGACCAGAAAGGACCCGAAAAGACTTGACGCAGGGCTGGGGGACGTGACAAGCAGCCCCCTTGTGTGTCAGTTTGCTGCCATCCAACATCCCGCCGGCCTGAACTGCCGTTTCTCCCAAGAAGCGACAATCGACTTGTGGCGAAACCATCGGCCGCCACGCAAACATTTCAAGAACCACGAGCCAGAAACGGCCAAAGCAGCACCCGCCATGGTCCAGAACCATGCCCAGCATCCGCGGCCCGCGCCAAGTAAGTCGAGTCTCGTCGAGTCTCGTTGAATGCTCATATTATTGATTCTATTTCTTGCCTTTGCATTTTCAGATGCTCCCTGCCCGACCCCAAGGCTCGTTTGCTGCTTCTGCCCACGCGCTTGACCACTGGCTCCGCACTGTGGCGTCTGCCTCACCAGCACTCACACCACGGCTCAACATTGAACTCTGTAGCACTCCAGTCTGCTCAAGTGCTCTCATCACAGACATCCCTGGATGCTCATCCCAACTTCATCGCGCCGAGTTTGGCCCGCTTCATCTGCTCGCCCTGCCGTGTCGTGCCGTGTCGTGTCACTTCGCCGCACCAGACCGCAGATCTAATTCCCAAAAGCTACTTTGCCAACCTCGTCGCCCTCGTGGCTTTATATCTTGTCCTGCCCTGCCCTGCCCTGTCCTCTCTTACACTGTTCCCTCTGCGAGTGCAACCACGAGATCAGTCAACTGCTGGCCTCGCCACGTTGAACAGTCAACTGGCCATCTCGCGGCGCAATTGGCCTTCTTGCTTCGGCGAGCCGCAACAAGTGCTCTATTTCTTAAACGTCACTCTTGAGTCTTGACCATCGCCGGCGTTGTTGTTTTCCAATCTTCTGCAGCAGACTATCGGCACTCGAAACGATCATCAACATACCAGTGGTCTTCTTTGAGCATATCTAAGCGGCAGCGAGTTGGAGACCACGGCTGTTCCTGCTCTTCATGTATTATAGTCGGGTTCTAAATTTGCTGCTTTGACTTGGCTAGTTTGGCCGCCACAGCTCACGGGCGTCTTCTTCGCCGCCCTCGTTTCGTTGTCTTTCTCTCTGTCTTGAGCTACAATCAACCTCTTTGACGTCTTCACTAATCATCATCTTCTTGCACTCGTCACTCACCACGCTCTGTCTTGAATGCCGCTTTGGGCACCGGCTGACTGACTTTGATTTTTGTTTTTCTCACCGAATATAGAGCGCGAGGACACCACACCGTCTCCTGCGCTGTCGCAAGACAAAGACAAGGACCAACGCATCGCAGCTCCACAGCCCGAATCAGTTCCCGCTGAATTGACAAAGCCCTCAGCCATGATCTTCTCCGACTTTTACAGAAGTCCACGCTCACCACTATCCAAGCTTCGCTTGCACCATCCGCAGCTACCAGCTCAGCTGCCCACCGCAGCACCTGAATGGCGAGCCGATGAGTATGCCGATCTTCTGAGCAAAGACAAAACCAAGCAAAAGGAGGCCGTGAAGCGCTACTTGACTGATAAGGTCCGCAGCGACTGGACCTTTGCTTGGCCGCCTGTCGTTTCAAACGAAAATGTTGCGTCATCGAGGCCCGAAGGCCCAGGAGCTTCTGTCGAGCTCCCAAATCAGGCCAACTCCTCAAAGAAACGGGGAGGGGCTCAGGCTCCTACGAGCGAAGAAGATGGATATCGAGGAGGAGAAGGCACTGAGCTAGATGAACCCGAGTCCGATACCGGAGATGACAATGCCATCGTCGATGATGACAACGACGACGCCGAGTCTGTATACAGCGTAATGTCAGAAGATGCGATACATTATCGTCCTCGGACCGAATGGACGTCGGATCTGTCCGACGATGAGGATATGCCACCCAAGCCCTCACCGTTTCGCTTTGATAACCCCGACTCTATCCAATCCGCCATTCAAGACATTGTGCGTGCAAGGAAGGCTCGCAGGCGGCGTGCTCTGCGGGAAGAGATTGCTTGGAACGAGGGACTCGCCTGTTTTGAAGCAAGGCGGAATGCTTGGACCGGCGCCAAGACGGTCCGTGTTCGAAGTAAGCCTGTAACCACACCTCCCGCATCGCCGCGATCACCAAGGCGATTTTTCTTTCGTCGCTCCATGTCCGGATCGCCACCCAATCCGGCGGTGGCTGTTCTCTCCCAGCACGGAGAATGCTGTGGTGCGGTATCCGACTCGTCATCCGCCTCAAAGGACGCTGAAAAGGACTTGAAAAAACATCAAAGCACCGACTCGACCGTATCGGACTCTACCAGAATTCAGACTTACCCTATTGAAACACTGCTGCCAGTTGGACAGCCTCTTCTTCCGCCTACAAACCCTCTGCGAGCTTCAATCTCGCCGGCGGTTTATTTGAGCCTCTATGACAAGGTGATTTTGCACAATCTGCAGCCGGCATGCCCCATCAACTTGTCAGATATGTTGCGATCTTGCGTTGCCGGATGGAAACGAGATGGCGAGTGGCCTCCGCGATGCTCGGCGCCCGATCCGATGCCAGCGACTCGAAAGAAAAAAAAGGCAGCGCCAGCCTCTGCGACTGACAATACTGGAAATGTGACGAGACGCATGAGTTTCGGCCTCTTGGGTCGCGATAAGGATGATGAAGGCGGTGCTGGCAAAGGTATTCGCCGTAGTCTGCAAAGAGCGCTTGGAATTGGTGTCATGGCCGGCATGGGAGATGCCTGAGTGCACCTTCAGAATCACACAGACTTACGATATTATGGGAGAAGACATGTGTGACGAACTCAGTTGCAGGAGGAACTGGTGGGACCCGGCGTTTCTTATGACACATGGACATTGGCGTATTGCATTTACTATTTCATGTTGGCTTGGCGCAGGACGGGCATACGTATTTCCCATTCGCAATATACCCTTGCATGGAAATTGGGGCTTCAGGGATTCGTGACAAACTGTCGATCATTTAAAGACGTACATACAGATAATAATAGGCCAATTCACTGTACCATGACAACCTTGTTCTTTTAATTCAACACGGCTGTTGGGGCTGGACATTTGTCAATGTACACGAGAAAGGTGCTACGACAAACCGAATGTTTCCAGTTTTGCGTGACGATGTCGCTTCGTAAGTGTTGAATACCTAGAGACCTACGGTAGTACATACCTAGGTAAATAGGCTTAATTTGTTTAGTCGTGCAGCGCCAAGTCAAACTGTGACGTGCCAAATAATGCCAAGAAGAAGAAAATGAGACGTAAAAAAAGAGAAAGAAAGAAAAAAAGACTTAGAATAGTTTTCCCCTTGGCTCACGTATCAAGAATCGCGCCACATCAGCCAAATCCATCAACAACTCCTTGGCATACTCGGCCCAGCTGTCCACCGTGACAATCTCCAATATCATACTGTCCCCATCAATGAAAGCCTGAATCTTCCACTCCCGCAACGGCTCCTCATGCGGATACACTGTCTCCATACGGCTGCTTACCTTTGCAAACGGTAACCTTTCAACATGCGCTACGTCTTGGTGGACGACGGAATCGAACCAATCTGGCGTCGCGTCGGGCCAGTCGGTGCATTGGTCCCTGATTTCGCTGAGGCCCATGCCTTCGTGGGCCGACGACGCGACGTGTTGGTGCTGGATGTAGGCCAGCAGATCGGACACAGTCCATGATGGATCGAACTTGACGCGTACCGGGACGTATTGCCAGCATGGCCCCGTAACGGCATCGGCATTGGGGAAATCAATGTTTCGACCGCTCACCACCTCACCGAATGTGACGTCTCGGAGAGACAAGCGACGACTCAGGCACAGTGCCCAGGCTGCCGTCGGCAAAGTCGCGACAGTGACGTCTCTAGGCCTGGACGATATATCCACGGTGTGCTGGACAGCAAAATGGTTGCTCTTCTGAACGGGGATGTCAGGCTTGAGGATGGACATGGCCGAGCCGGCGAGCAGGTCTTTCCAGTACTGCGTGCTTTCAGGAATGTTGCGCCGGAGCACGTGCCCGACATAGGACGAGAAGGAAACAGATTCCTGGACCGGCCTGTTTTCGTAGAGTGCAGAGAGCTGCCTCAGAAGAATGGGGAGACATATCTCGTCGTACTGCGCGTGGGAGAGCCTGAAGACCAGGCAGGACTTGCCGTTGGGGAATTCGACAAGGAACCATTTGACAAAGCTGGAACCGAGTGGCATGTCTGACAGGACGTCTGACTGGCACACGTTCCTCGCGTATTCCTCGATGCTGCCGGAATAACTGCTGCCTACGCCGTCGACGACGAATTCTGCTTCTAGAGACTCGAGGACCGCGCCGTAACACCTGCCGTTGTGTTCGATAAACACGGTCCGCAGAATCTCATTGCGAGACACGAGCTCTTCGCACGCATATCTGAGCTGTTGCTTATCAATGGCATCGTCAAAGTACATGAGCTCGTAGCGAGCAGAATACCGAGGGAGCTGGGTAGTCCCCTTTACGGCTATCTGCTGGAGCGGACGTGTTGGAACAACATTAAGAACATTGGAAGCCTTGTTTTCCAGCCGCGGCCGAACCACAGTTTCGACAAATTCTGATGCGTTGGCGTCTCCCAAGAGAGAAAATGCAGCGGCAACATCCTCACTTGCACTGGTGTCCATGGCCACCTCTTCCATGACACTTGCCATGTCGTATAAAGTGCGTTTCTGGAACATTTGCACGACGGTTAGTTTGACCCCTTCTGCGCGGGCTTCCGAGACAAGTTTCATAGCGGCGATGGAGTCACCGCCTAGGAGAAAGAAATTATCATTCAAGCTGATGTCGTCCTCGTTGATGTTCAGGACGCGACTCCATAAGCTTCGGAGCTTCCGTTGACGACGAGACGTTGCGGATACTCGCTTCACAGGGGCCTGGGCTTTTGTGCCATTGACGTTCTGGTTTGGGCTCGACTCTATGAATTGAAGGAGGCCGCTGGCCGTGTATTTCGCCAGCTTGCCCGTCTTGTAGAAGTTCGCCGCTGTTATTGAGGCAGATTCACTAACCTCCCCGAGCCAAGACGGTGACGGGATAGATGGCAATTCCAGCACTGCCGACGTTGATACAACAACCTCTCCAATAGCTCCCACGGGTAGAAGCTTGTTGGTATCCTGGGACTCAACAATGAAGGCTCCTTGGACGCCGCTATATTGGCGTAACTGGGCGTCTTGTGTGTTTGAGGCGACCATGGTTTTCAAAATGTCCACGTCATCGGGGGTGAGGTACTCGAGATCACCGACGCGGCCGGACGTGCCTTGGCAAAGCAGTTGCGCTACCTTCTTGAACTGTCTCAAGGCTCTCTGCATAGTGCCAGAGTCAATCGTTTTAGAATCAAAGCTTGCCATGACGAGGAAACCATCTGGGTCAATGGAGCACACTAGCATGAGAGAATAGGTATTGAATTTGAGAGCCTCCTGCGCTGCCTCGGAATCACCGGCTGGCACCAACCGGTTCGCAGGCAAATCAGCCCCTGCTGCTGCATCATTCGCGGTACTAGGATGTAGGACCAGACCGGTTTTGAGCTCACACGCTTCGAGGGCATCCGGGCTAAGCCGCCGAATGTGCTGGAGACCAAAGTGCTCGTGGGGAATCTGTTCAATGGTCTGTTCCTGGATAGTCTGAAGGTATTCGACAATGGGCATCTCTCGATCGACTTGTACACGGACCGGAACCGTGGTAATCATTGGGCCCTCAATCTCTTCCGCGCCAACAATGGCGGCGTTCCTGCCGGTCAAGGTCTCACCAAAGACGACGTCTTCGCTGTTGATGTACCGGGAGGCGACAAATGCCCATGCGGCTCGGATGACGGTGGCAACAGTTGCGTTCGAGGCGGGGAGTCTGCCCAAGGAAACGTACTCCTCGAGCAGCGAGTCTGCCTTGGCTTGGTATCCAGTATATGGATGGGAGGGGAACTGGAGGCCATTTGCGCCTTGCAACTGCTGTCTCCAGTATTGCTCGGAATCCTTCTTGCTGGTGCCGCAAAGATACTTGATGAAATGCCTAAACTCGGCTGGCCGCTCGACTGTCTGGCCCATGTACGCCTTGTTGACCCGGTCAACGATAAGCGGCATGCACCAGCCGTCGTATAAGGCATGGTGCATGGTCAACACGAAGTTGGTCTTGCCAGTTTTGCCGTCGTTGATGACCGCATACCGAACAAGAGGCTGTCCGAGATCCATCGCCTCATCTCTATCAGATACGAGATACTCATCCAAATCTGTTCCGGAAAAATAGCTCAGTTTTCCTTTCACGACGACCTGGACGAGACCTCTGCCGGGGACTTGGACAATTCTTGTCCGCAGGATAGGGCAGTCCCTTTGAGCAGCATCAAAGGCCGTGATGAGTTTGGTAGCCGTCTCCGCATCCGCAAGCTCAACGACGCGCTGGGCAATGTAAGCCTCTTTCACCTTGGCCGACAGTGCCATAAGGGCCTCCTGTAAGGGTGTACAGGGATACACGTCGTCAATGGCATCTGCTTCAATGTTGCACAACGCAGCTGTTTCCTGCCGGACCGAGCCAACAGCCCAATCCTTGTCAAGGAGCGAGAAAGGAGCTATCTTGTCGGCGTTTGGGTCAGAGAGGGAGATGCCTATTGCTTTGGATGACATGGCTTCAAGGGTCGGGTTCATAAAAATGTCCGCCACCGTGAGAGACAGTCCGTTCTCTCTTGCTGCGGCCACAAGGCGCATTGCACGGAGAGAGTCTCCCCCCACGCCAAAGAAATTGCTGCCTCTGTTTGCTTTAACGTCGGAGCCAAGGACCTTCTTCCATGCGTCCGCCAGCTTCTTCTCCGTCTCCGTCTGAGGCTCTTGTTCAACCTGAACGGTGCCGTTCTGAGCTCCAGAAAACTTCTCCCGTGGAATGGACGCCGCGATTGCTCGTAATTTCTTCCTATCCGTCTTCCCAGACACCAGTGTCGGCATTGATTGCAGAGTGAAGAATGCTGTAGGCACCATGTATCTCGGCACCTTTGCGCCCATGTCCTTGTCTACAGTAGATAGGGCAGCAGTCAATTGTTCTGACGGCTCAACCAGAGGAAACTCATCCGCCGTCTCGTTCGAACCGGAGGAAGGCTCTGCAATAAAGGCAACCAGCGTCGGCGCCCCGCTGTTCTCGGGCTTGATGACTTCGGCTGCAATCTTGATGCCTCTCGGTAAGCAACTCTGAAGGTGGTGCTCGACCTCTGTCAACTCGACTCGCTGACCCCTGATTTTGACTTGTTGATCTTTGCGTCCGACAAACTCTATCGAGCCCAGATTGTTTGCTTCATATCGTACAAGATCGCCTGTTTTGTAGAGTCGACCCTTGCGGCCGCCATGGTCTCCGTGCCCGGCGGTCAACCATGCTGGGTTCTCGATGAAAACTTCTGCCGTCTTGTCCGGCTCCCCAAGGTATCCGATGCCTACGACAGGGCCCTCTATAAGAAGCTCCCCGACCTCCCCAACGCCCATCAGGATGCCGTGGTCTTCGGGGTCAGTGATCCAAGTTGTACCGCCAACCCCCTTGCCTATGCCTCTTGATATCGCCAAGGTGTTGTTGATGGTACAGCCAACAGTGCACTCTGACGGTCCATAGGCAATGACCAAGCTGGTATCCTGGCTCCATGCGGCGGCATCACTTGATGAAACAGCTTCGCCGCCAAGGCCCAAAACATCCAGGGAAGGAATAATGTCGGCGTCCAAGACTCGGGCCACTGACGGTGTCATATGGACCATGTTTGCTTTGCTTTTACGGATAGCGCCGCTGAGATCGTTCATTCGGTCGGCTTCCGAGGGCACACACACTGTCCCGCCGTGGGCAAGAGTGCAAAGCATGCAGTCGATGCTTACGTCGAATGCGTAGGAGGGGAAGTCAAAGACTCTCGAATGTGACTTGTACCCCACGGCTTCTGCCCGCGGCAAGGCGCCGCTCGTGTAGTTCTCGTGCGATATCACCACGCCCTTCGGTTTGCCTGTACTCCCCGAAGTGAAGATTATGTACATGGGAGAGGAAGAAGGAACCAGCGGTAGTGATTCTTCCGGCTGCTCGGAAATCTGGTCGAAATAGTCGCGAGAGACCGACATGACTTGCCCGTTTCGGGATATCTTTACTCCAAGCTCTCGCTGAGCTGCCGAGGTGACGATGATTTCAGCTTCTGTCTGGTCCACAATCGTCCGGAGTCTAGCTTCGGGTTGACTTGGATCAGTCAAGGAGAATGTGGCACCGGCTTTCATGACTCCCAGGAGGGACACGACTGCCCACATGGACTTTTCGAAGCATAGTGGTATTCTGGTTCCAACGGAGACCCCCCGGCGCCTCAGCTGCTGGGCTAGCTGTGTTGACAGCGCATCAATCTCCTGGTATGTAAGAGTCCCGTCCCATGATGCAACGGCTACAGCGTGAGGCTGTCGTTGTGAGACTTCCCGAATGATGTCATGCATGCATCTTTGTATCAGTGGAGGAAGCTCCCTATTCCAATTCCATATTTGATCCAAGTCTCGATCACCCAGTCCCTTTTTTTCGTCGCTTGCAGGTTCCGGCTTGTCGGGAGCGTTTATATCGGGATTTGCGGTGGCATGTTGCGGTGCTGCAAGCGGAGCTATTCCTGTACTGGCACCAGCAGCGATGCCCTTTTTTCGTTGTTTCCGACGCTTCGCGAAAGCCGAAAGGCTTGACAAGGCGTCTAATATAAAGGACTTCATTATGGGAAAAGAGACACACAGAAACCCCGAGTTATTCCAGGGCTGAAGTAGAGCAGTCTCACAAGGCGCAGAGGTTCATACTCCAAAACGGGAACGCTCAACTGGGCTCTTCAAAAGTACGTCAAGAGCTCTTTTTTTAGCTATGTATTATGAGCCTCTGGCTCAGCACTGCGGACCCATTTACTTGGACCTCGTGGAACACATGATTCTTCCGTCTCTGAGCCTGCCTGCCCAATGCAGCAACCATTCACGGTACTCAGCTGGATTGCCATTAGTATCTTCCACAACCAGGATAGTATCCACCAGCGAGCGGGAAACGCGTTGAAAGGCGTCCATTGGCATATATTGTTTCTCGTGAGTTTCCTGGTCTGAGGGGCGCACTGCGAACAGGGGTCGGTCCATGGTGGTGGAAGTGACTTGAGAGTACATGAGCGAGACATGTCCATGACTCGGTGTTTAATAACCCATTGGATCGCAGAACCCTTTCCCTTTTGGTCCCTGCCGTGAAGCGGAGTACAGTACTCCGTAGTTGAGATGGTGTTCGCTTAGCAGAGACGGTGACGGGCATTTTGGAGTGGGGATGGGAGAATTTCGAGATCAGACAGCCAGCCGTCCCCCACGTGAAGATGATGGATAACAGGCCTGGCGATGGAGGGCGTAGGAAAGATTAGGTTGCGGCAGGTTGATGCGATGAGACGTGGGCTACAGCTGATATTCTGATGGGCAGCCGAGACACAAACAATCTACAAAACATTTCCTTGCCGTCGGTGACTATGTCTGACAGTGATGGCTGAACTCCATTCCTGGTGGAGATGAAGCTAAAAAAACTTTTGTTGAGCCATTCGCATTCTGTCTTGGGATTTCATGTGTGCCCGAATTTCTCGCCGTGAGCTGCTGCTGCCAAGACGGGGCGGGCAGATTGATAAGACGAGTTTGGTTGAAGCGGCTGAGGGCCAGGAAGCCTGCCTGCGGAGCCTGACCCTGGCCACACGCCCATGTGGCTTTTTTCTCTCTCTCTTTTTCTTCTTTCGTGACTGGGCCGGCGGACTTGGAAGAAGACTTGGCACGATGAATCCCAAGTCTGCAGCGCTAGTCTCTCGAGCGGACTGGAGGGGCAGATCGCGCAAAGGCGGCACGAATTGAGCACAGGGATCAATGATTATTCCACACCCCAGGTGCCTGTTTACGTCAGCGCAAGAGAAACAATTGCCGCATACAATCCAACCCTCGTAAGTTTAGCATTAGTGACCTGACAAGGATTCGAAGTTTGTGGGGGATTATAGGGGCCTCTTCACTAATAAGAGCACCAGCCTCTTAATTTATAATAGTAGCTGTCAATTGCGATTTTTACGGGAGTAATAGCACTTGAAGTAACATTAAATTATATCAATCAGAGATTTCCCCATTTGATTGCCTGTAGCCCCCCTTGTGAGGTCACGCGTGACTAAACTTTCAGAGGATATTGTATTGTATTGACTCGATTGACTGACTGGTCAAGTCGGGGAATTTGCTTACCCAAGCTTTGGTGTTGGTGGGCCCGACCTGCCTGTGGTGGACCTTGCTGGACAGGGCCGCCGCGGACCAGGGTTGGAAACACCGCGGTTTAGTCTTTAATCCTCACAGCAACCCCCGACGTGTTTTTTTGCTTCTTTCTTGTCCTGTTCCTTGGATCCAAAGCAAGGTCTACCTTGCCACGATAATACAGCCGCGGCCATGGCGGAGAGTCCACAAGCTGATCCTGACGGCGCAGAGCCCAGACACGCCCCCCCTGCCTCGTGCCTTCCCTGAGAGTCTAGAGCGCGCCATCTAATCTGATGATCAGATAAGATGGATTCCTGGCTGACTCTGCGATCCACATCGGCAACCCTCGGACTCTGCCTGCGAGCAAGGGGGGCAGATTTTCAACGACACGTACTAATCATCGAGTCCGGCTCAACCTTCCTAATTTCAAACGCTTTGCGTGAATGGAGCCGTGGCCCATTTGGCCTCAGGACTAGGGATGCGACCTGTGGTTTGGCGATGCGGCGAGCCGTCTGAACATTTGGATGCTGGGCCATGTACGATTTTATGACGATGCACAATGAGCCATCCAACCACGGCAGCTCGACAGATGTCGTCAGTCGTTTTTTTGACTTTATGTGTGGGCCCCCCTTGAACACCATTATGCCTAATATACTCGTTTACCGCTTGTAGCGTCGCATATCCATTGCATCGTGTTGGCAGTGGTAGACCAAGCTCGTTGCCAAGTATCATTGTGAAGGACCAAAACACACATATACATACGCAGAAGAAGAAAAAGGAAAAGAAACAAAGAAATACCACAGCATCGTCACATCAAAATGTCCACACAGCCAGCTGTGGCGGAGCCGCAACCGCAGACTCGGCCAGCTACTCAAAAGCTTTCGGTCCTGCATGGCCCCCTCGAGCCTCCCCTCGTCGACTTGACCCTCGGGGAGCTTCTCCAGCTCCAGACGTACCAGCATGGAACTCAAGAGTGCATCGTCATTCCCTGGACCGGAGCACGATGGACGTACAACGAATTGAACCAACAGAGTTCCTCCCTCGCACAAGCACTCTTGGATATGGGAATCGGGGTTGGAGACCGCGTGGGCATCATGGCCGGGAACTGCGAGCAGTACGCCGCCGTCTTCTTCGCCGTGGCCAAAATCGGCGCCATCCTCGTCATCCTGAACAACACTTATACGCCCACCGAGGCCATGTACGGCCTGAAGTTTTCCGACTGCAAGGTATTCTTCACCACGCAGACCATCGGCCGGTTGGATAACCGAAAGCTTCTGGCTGCGCTGGACAACAAAACCGACGGGCCCAAGGTCTTCATCCTGCGAGGCGAAGCAGGAAAATACACCACCTATGACTCCCTCATCAAATCGACCAGTCGCAAGAGTTACGACAAGCTGTACCGGGCTATGCAGCGAGTGCTGCCACATCAGGTCGTCAACTTGCAGTTTACAAGTGGCACGACAGGTCTCCCAAAGGCCGCCATGCTCACTCACCAGTAAGTCTTGCAGATTTGTAAAACCACTGAAAGAGAAGCTGATGGTGGCCGGGGTAGCAATCTGGTCAACAACTCCCGCTTCATCGGCGACAGGATGAGGATAACGGCCGAGGATATCCTATGCTGTCCTCCTCCCATGTTCCACTGCTTTGGCCTTGTCCTGGGCCTTTTGGCCATCGTCACCCACGGCGGCAAGATTGTGTATCCGGCCGAAGTCTTTGACATCCCCTCCACTCTTCAGGCCATCTCTGACGAGGGCTGCACGGCTGTCCACGGCGTGCCGGCCATGTTCGACTCTCTCTTCCAGGCCGAGTTCCCGCCCGGGTTCAACTGCGACAAGCTACGGACCGGAATCATTGCGGGCGCGCCCGTCCCGAAATACCTGATGGAGCTCCTGGTCAACAAGTTTGGCATGACCGAGTTCACCAGCAGCTACGGCCTGACAGAGGCCTCGCCGACCTGCTTCAACGCCTTCACGGACGACGCCCTGAGCACGAGGCTGACCACGGTCGGCACCCTGATGCCGCACGCCCAGGCAAAGATTGTCGACCGCGACGGCAACACCGTGCCCGTGGGCTCACGGGGCGAGCTCTGCATGGCGGGATACCAGCTCCAGGCAGGCTACTGGAATAACTCGGAAAAAACCAACGAAGCCATGGTCCGGGACGCGGCAGGGCTTCTGTGGCTGCATACGGGCGACGAGGCCGTCTTTGACGAGAATGGATACTGCACGATTACGGGGCGGTTCAAGGATATAATCATTCGAGGTGAGCGCCGGAAGAATGTCGACGTTTTGCTTCCCTTCTTTTCTTCTTTTGAACACTGCCACTAACACGGCCGCGGCGCGAACCCAGGCGGAGAGAACATCTACCCTCTTGAAATCGAGGAGCGGCTCATGGCACACCCGTCAGTCTCCCGGGCCATTGTGGTCGGACTCAGGGACAAGCACTATGGTGAAGTCGTCGGCGCCTTTGTCGAGAGGCTCGAAGGCAGCCCCCAGCCGACAGACGCGGAATTGCGCGACTGGGTCCGCAGCACGCTGGGCAAGCACAAGTCCCCGGCGCATGTTTTCTGGCTGGGCCAAGATGGGGTTCCTTGCGACGTGCCGCTGACGGGAAGCGGCAAAGTGAGAAAGTTTGAGATGGCGGCGTTGGGGAATGAGATTTTGGCCAAGAGAGGGCAGACGTCAAAGTTGTAGAGAACAAGACCGCCGCAGGCAATGCCGGCATTTGGCAAAATTGGTAGAATAGAGAAAGGACAATGCAGAACGTATGTTTGTTCATTTAGTTCCTTGGTTTAGAGTAAAACATGGTTCAAGAGACAAAGGGTGTTTTCAGAACAGGGCTTGTAAAGAGCTATGTATTCAGACGTCAAGACATTATATATATGTATGTATGCATCACGTTCAGCCCACGTTGCTTCCACTACTACAAAAAATCAAACCAAAACATACATATATAAAAAAACACTAGCCAGGTCACAGTCTTGTCTAAACGTCCAGTCCTACAACTTGGGAACCAGTCCGATCCTCATACCACCAACAGCCTTGTCATTCTCCCCCAGCGGACACAACTGGAAGAACCGATTGCGCGGGCACCGCACGAAAGCGCTCCGCTTGTGCGGCAAATCGACAAAGTGCTCGATGCCAAAGCCGTGGATGAGGTCGTACATGACGACAGTCGCGTTGGTGTTCTTGGGCTCGCCCACGACATGCATGGTGCGAGGGTCATCGAGGAAGAGGTAATGCATCAGGCTGCTCCACCAGGCAGTCACACGATGAGGGCCGCGGAATCGAACATCGCCCACGAGGGAGTGGCGGCCGCGGTCAAAGTCGCCGGCATCGTAGTAGCCGCCGAGACGGTCCTCCTATAGAGCATCATCCATGGTGTTAGCGACGCTCACTCATCCACGGCGGCTTTGTACTCGAGACGGCTCTTCCGCGTAAGAAAAGAAACACTCACCTTGGCCCAGTACACTTCGAAAT